CCATGAAAGAAAGCAAAGTTAATTGGCTTTTAAAAGAATCTAACTCTTGATCCTGTCCTTGTCAGTACCAAGTTGTAACCACAAAACAAATTCACCAGACATCATTATTAGCTCATCTTAAGTGCTCATTGGTTCTGAGCATTATACAAAAAGATTTCCCTGGCCTAAGGGACCTAACATCCCTGAGGTCCGATAATACACATATAGACATTCTAGCTAAAAGCAATCATTAAAAAAACAACCTTCAAGAATAAAAAGAATGGCTAAAAAGTAAAATCAGATTTAAGGCTATGATGGTTTTGGCAGAGCAAAATGGCTAAGCACCGCCAAGGGTGATAAGTTTCAAAAGTTAGGCACTCACAGAACAGAAGAGCTGTACACATGATCTGTACCAATCTTCTAACTATTAAAATGAAGGCTTTCCAAGGAATGTTCTTCTCATTTAAAAAATAATAATAAAAGCCCTCCAATCAATCCATTCTACTTAGCTACTTTTTAATAGGACTGTATATAAATATTTCATTTCCTTCCCTCTAGAAAGGTTACATCATTTGCTGCTTTGCATAGCCAAACAGATAGCCAAGGAGATTATACTGACCTTGGAGTTACCATTAGTACACATTTGGCAAAGGGCACAGTTCCTTTCATCTGGGCCGCCCCCACCTGCATCTTTTTTATTTACATTCAAAGAAACAACCTAATCAGAAGAAATTAGAAATTTTTTCTCCCAGACAAGGTAGCCATTTTGTGGAGATACAAAAAGCCCTTCACAGGACCCAAAGGAGGAAAAAAAAGCAGTTACACACTTTCAGGCTGAATTTTACCATCACCTTTATTTGTTTGACACCCCCCCCCCACCCCATCTCATTATCTGAGTGTCTACTATATAGCTCAACCTTATCATGTGACTGAATTGTTTTCTACTCTAGCTCACCTTAGAAATCATTCAGGAAATAAACAATGCTAAACTCAGGAAGATACAGGTAAATTTCAATCTCACCCCATGGCAGTTTCATTTACTAAATTAACAAAACAAGAACGAAAATGGTATTAGTATTGCCAAAAGAGTATACTTTGTATCATTATTTGAAACAAGTCATAGTAAGAAATTAACTTTTTTTTTTAAAGTAAATTTCATCTTTCTCAGTCCTTCTGAGTACATCCTATACTAACTGATGCTTCTGGCCAGCTGGCCCGCTTCAATAATAATAGCCAACATTTATACAACAATATAGCCAACATTTATACAACAAGTTTACAAAACACTTGACATAGATCTCACTTGATTCTCACCAAAAAAAAAACAAAAACCTGATAAGTGAGTGCTATTAGTATCCCCATTTTAAAGATGAGAAAATTGAGGCTGAAAGCTATTAAATGACTTATCCAGAGTGGTGAAGAAACACAGTTTTAGAAGACAATAAATATTATTACAGTGAAATTTCATTTTAGTGTCACCAGTTCCAACATGTGCACATGCAAGCCACACCATTAAAATTATTATTTATTTTTTCATCACCATAGAGTATTTCCTTCCACCAAGGAGGAGTATTGTTAACCGCTGACATTTTAATTGATTTCGTTTTAGTAAAAGAATTGTGTTGTGTTTGTTTTTTTTAAGGGGTGGAGGAATGAGGATGAGCCTGTTGATCCCTGGATCCCTGAGAAACCCACCAGACCTGATCAGCTCGTGATCATTCAGGTTAAGAATGGAAATTATGTGAAGCCACAGCGACATCTAGTGTCCACATGAGCTTCCAGGCCAAACTACAGAAAAATCCTCCTAAGTCTCTCCCAAAGAACAAACTTACAAAAAAGTCGTTAGGAGAAAGGGGGAAATTTCATTTAGGTATGAAAAAATCTAAAACAACGAGGAGCTCAATGTTACCAATGGGGCAAGCATTTATTAAGTGCCTATTACGTGCCAGGCACTATGCTATGTGCTTTACAAATATTATCTCATTTTCTGATAACCTTTGTCTTTATAGATCAGTGCAGATACCATCAAGGATAGGTTTTGTTGGGTATATTATAGAACTTTTAATCTACAGAAGTAAAAGTACTTCTGAATAGTACATTGTATTCATTTACGACAAATTAGGAAGAAGTGATTTAAAATATCACGGGTATACTGAAAACAGAAGCCAAACAGATGTTATAAAGAGCTTGCAGCTTCTATTTAAAAAATTTTGTCTTGACAGGTAGATGCTTAGCTCTAGTGGCTTCTAACCTTTTGACTACGGACAACTCCTCAGAATCACATTTTTAAACGCATAAAACAAAACAAAGAGGATTAAAAAGGAAACTAGTTATGTTGAAATCTAGTTATCAAAATATGTTATCAAATTATCATTTTAATAACAAATATCAAAATTATACTAAAAGGTTATCGACATTTTTAAAAGTCCATGGATTCCAGGTAAAAAACGCAATCCCTACTGCATTTGTTTCTTTGAACTTACTCTCTTTCCTCCTAAACCTGCCCCTCCCTTCTGACATCACTTTTTCCATCATCATACTGCCATTCGCCTTGCCTGCCATGTCTAAAACTCTGGTGTTCCTTGTGATTCTTCTGTCTTCCTCATCTCTCTCACCGAGTCACTCGGCACACTCCCTCCACAGTATGTGTCCCTTCGGTGGCCTCCTCTCCTTGGCCATCACCATCATCCCAGGACAAACCCTGACGATCACCATCCTAGTTCCACCCACTTCCTCCTCCTCACCTTCCAGCAATCCGTCAACCAGCCCTGTCCTCCCTACTGTGTATCAAGTCAAGTTTCGATCCTCTGCCTGCATTCGAGATGCTCCATCATCTGGGCTCACCGACCCTGGTAACCTGATCACAGTCTGCTCCCACCACAAGTCTTTCTTCCCAATAGGCTTTCATGACGTTGCTCTCTTCTGGTGGTCCTCTTCCCCCTCCCCCAATGTGACCACTCCTCAGCTTCCTCCACTGAATCTTCATCCCAGTGACTCTCACTAACCGTGGGTGTTCCTTGAGGCTCTGTCCTGGGTCTTGCGTCTTCTCCCTCGCTACAACTTGGTTCCCCCGGACGCCATGATCATCTCTACATGTAAGATACTCACATCTTTTGTCTAATCCAGGGGTGGGAAACCTGCAGCCTCAAGGTCACGTATGGCCCTCAAGTGCAGCCTTTCAACCAAATCCAAACTTCATAGGTCAAAGGGCTGCACTTGAGGACCTAGAGGGCCACATGTGGCCTCAAGGTCATAGGTTCCCCACCCCTGAAATCTTTCTCCTGACCTCCAGTCTCACAACTCCAACTGATTATTGGCTATCTGAAACTGGATATCCTGTAAACAATTTAAACCCAGCATGTCCCAAACTGAACTCATTATCTTTTCTCCTAAATTCTCCCTTCATCTTAACTTCTCTATTACTGTCAAGGGTAGTATAATTCTCCCAGTCATTCAGGCTTGCAACAGAGGTGCCCTCCCTAACTCCTCACTCTCTCTCACTCCCACATCCAATCAATTGCCATATCCTTTCTCATTTTCACTTTTCTAACACCTCTCATCTACACCCCCTTCTCTCCTCTGACACTGCCACCACCCTGGGGCAGGCTCTCATCACCTCACACCTGGACTACTGCAACAGTCTGCTGGTGGGTCTACCTGCCTCAGGTCTCTTCCTATTTCATCTGCCCTCCCCTCAACCGTCACACTGATCTTCCTTAGGTGCAGGCCTGCCCATGTCACCCACCTACTCGACATATTCCAATGACTCCCCAGGACTTCCAGGATTGGCTTTTAAAGCCGTTCCTCAGCTGGGTCCTTCCTACCTGTCTAGTCTCTTATACCTTACTCCCCTGCATACCTTCTACAATTCCTACACACAGAATATCTGCGCTCACCCTATGGTAGAGCCTTCCCAGTTAGTACTGGTCTGATCAGCCACAGTCAGACACACTGTATCTTGGCCCCAACATAGCGATGACATGTTGGTACTCTTCAGGAACGAAGGACAGCAGCCAACAATCCAGGGACACTGGACCTCCCAGCTGTTTCTTGAACAAGACCCTCCCTTCCCCAACTCCAGTTCTTTTCATCGGCTGCCTCCCATGCCTGGAACTCTCTCTTTTCATTTTCACCTCCTGACCTCCCTGATTTCCTTCATGTCTCAGCAAAAATCCTACTTTCTATGAGAAACCTTTCTAGGTCTCCCTCAATGCTGGGGCCTTACCTCAGAGGTGATCCCCAGTGGATCCTATCTCTATCTTGTCTGTACCTAGTTGTCTGCATGCTGTCTCCCCCATCAGTCTGTGTCCTCCTTGGGAATAGGCATTACCTTCTACTTTTCTTTGTATCCCCAATGCCTGGCACACAGTAGGGGCTTAGTAAATGCTTATTGGCTTGACTTGACGTATTTATACTCCAGCAACACTGGACTACACTTTGTACCCTGAACGCATCCTCCAGTTTCCTCCCCCGGGCCTTGGTTCTCACTGTTCCATAAGCCTGGAACATCTTCTTTCCTCCTCTTTGTGTTCTGAATCACTATTCATCTTTTAGGCCCAAATTAAATGCTGTCTTCTTCATGAAATCATGCCAGACCCACAGGAAGCAAAAACCTTTCTCCCTTTAGATCTCAAAGAACACTATGTTTTACCCCTCTAACGCATTTACCATGTACTGTAGCATAGTTCATATGCTGTATTTCCCTCCTGGGCTGTACACTCCACATAGGCAGGAACCTTGCTTTACCTAAATTTTGTATCTTACCCAATGCCTGGCGATGCACTGCACACAGTAGGTGCTTAAAACTTTTGCTGAACTGCTTTTAAAAAAAAATTCTATTTGCTAAGACAGTGGATATTTTCAACCCAAAGGTCTAGACTTGGTAGTATGTCTTCAATTACTATATATATTTATAACATTATGTTCCAAATGAATCCACAAAAGTAAGCAAAATTCTAAAAATTATTTTTGGCCAGGGCAATGTTTTGTAAAAAGTAAAGTTAGCAACAGATGGAGCTTACCTATTTTTTTTGGAATGTTCATCCTTTCCTCTTTTAACTCCAAAAATTCTTGTGATCAGAGAACTAAAGAGAAGTGTGGATGAATTTCTTACCTAATGAAAAAATAAATATACAATAAGGATTAAGAAATATCCATGGCACTAGAATTCAGCATATCCATAACAGGACATCCTAAAACACTGGCTTACATTTTAAATCAAGATATTACCCAAACTTGCCAATTTTGTGGTAGAGAAACTGTGTTTTGTATTTACGGAATAAGGCAGTTCTCTAAAAATTCCATAGTGGTAACTGACCTAGTGACTTCTCTGAGCCTTACAATGTAATCACGGGATACAAAACAGCATTTTCTTTCACCTCTAATATCACCATCCCAAATTACACTCTCTTTGTTCTCTATCCTCAACTAATACACACAGAGAAGAAAAGTTCTTTCTCTCACATTTGTGAATTTTAATCATTAAACTTCAGTCTAAATTTTAAACAGTTTAAACTTCAGCTCTATTCTTTTCATTTCTACAATCACCAAACCCTTAGGAAAATGTTTGCAAGATCCATAAGGTCTTAAAGAACAAACATTTTTGACATGCCCAACAAAAGGTTTTTCAATTAACATTCAAAATGTTGCATATTAATATCTAGCAAAATGCCAAGGACAGATGTGTGTGATTTTTAATCCTGGGCTTTTGGTGAAGCAATTGGTTTAATAGGAATGTAAAATGGCAAGGAATGTCCACTAATGTACATAAAAGACACATTCAGTAAACTGCAATACAGCACAGGGACCTGTTTCAAAACTACTGCAGCATAATTTTGATTCTTCCCAAAGATGTCCTGGCGGGATTGTGATGTCTTGGGTTTCCTCTGTTCCCTTTGCCAACTTTTAATCAGAGCATTCACATACAATAAATCAATCCACAAATATTAACTCTCTACTAGTTATTAAGCATTATGAAGGACATAAGGGAACCTAAGAAATAATCCTTGCCCTTCAGAAACTTGCAGTTTCAATAAGAAATAACCACACGAGATATTAAATAACAGCTGAATACAACAATACAATTGATTTCACAAAGCAGAAATGAATGATAATGCCAAATGATAAAATGACAAAATGAATGATAAAAACAAAATCGCTAGAAGGACATATAAGAGGAAGGACACTTCCCCACAAACTAGGCTGGGCTGCGAAAACAACATCACAGAAACATTAGAACTGTCAACTTGGAAGGGCCCTTGGAGATAATGTCGTACAATGCCCTCATTCTTCAAGTGAAGAACTGAAACCTAGACAAGCGAAGTCACTTCCCTAAGAAGACATGGGTGACTAACTACTGACAGAACTGAAGTCTCTGGATTTGGGCATCCAATGCTCTTCCCCCTGACTTCCTCACAGAAATGGGGACAGTTGAGCTGAATTTTGAAAGTCAGGTATGTGTAAAAGAAATGAAAAAAAGAAGAAGTGGGAGGTCAAGCCAGATTGGTAAAATAAATAAATATAAGCAAAAGCAAAGAGACAGGGAGAGAGTTAGGACATGGGCAGGTAAGACTGAAAAGGGCTGGGTGCAGGCCTGTGTCATTTAGGATGTAGAATTTGGGGGGACCTATAGTGCAAGCAGGTGCTGCTTCCTGAGGTTATAGGAAATAATGATAATAGCTGGCATTTATATAGCATTTTAGATATATTAATTTATTGGATATTAACTAAGAGCTCTCTGAAGCAGGTCTTATAGAAATTATCTCCATTTTACAGAGGAGGAAACTGAGGACCAGAGAATTTTGCCCAGTGGTAAAGTTTTAATCCTTGCCTCTCCTGACTCTTTCCACTAAACCTATGCTTCTGTCATCATCTGACAACACAGTTATCCACCTCAGCTCAAGAGCGACAGGTAACCTTTCACACTGGACCAAAGGACTGTTTTCACTTTTGTACTTATATCCAGATATAAATACTGCCCTGTGGCTGGCACAGAGTAGGAGCTTAATAAATGTTAGTTGCTGTTAGATACTGATTCATTCATACAAAACAAATATTCTCATGTTTGAAGGATTCCCAGCAGTTAGCTAAGAACTCAGTTTCCTTCAGAAAGCGATCCCTGAGTTATCTCGCCCATTACAGTCTAGAGGAAGACCCTCAGTATATTGAGTAGAACTCCCTCGGGGGAATTTATGAAAATAGGACATGGAAATAGGATAAAAAGAAACAAACAAACACTGTCCTTTGAGTCTGGCCATTTGGCCAGTCCTGAATCCACCTAATGGCCTGAATCTTTCTATCTTTACTGCAAGAAAAGCTTGAGATATTTTATCTCATTTAAAATTTAAGTAAACTGTATCTAAAGCAGAGGTTCTTTTTTTTTTTAAGATAAATTGTTATTTATTTCTTTTCTGTTTTACATCATCATAGTTTTCCCTAGCATGCTTTCTCCTTTCTCTCTCAGAGAGCCATCACACATAACAAAGAGTATTTTTAAAGACAAAAGAAAGAAAAAAGAGGAAAAAATCAGTACAACTGATAATCACAATGAGAAAGTATGAAAACGTGTGCATTGTGCAATATCTGTGCACCTTCTATCCCATGAAGGAGTGGATTGGCAGCATCCTTTTGACTCTTGTCATTCGAATCCTGCATGATCCTTTTAACTTTGCACTTCCTCCCTCCCCCCCCTTTTTTGTTTGTATGTGGTTGTTCTTCTCATTTACAGTTGTAGTTACTGTATATACTGTCCTTTTGGCTCTGCTGACTTCACTCCGCATCAGCTCATAGAGATCTCCCCATGCTTTGCTATATTCACCATATATTATCATTTCTTACAACACAGTGATACTCCATTATATTCACATTTGTGTAGCCATTCCCTAATGGTTGAGCATCTACTATGTTTCCAGTTCTTTGTAACAAAAAATATGTGGATATTCTTCTTATCAATGGTAAAGCAGGAGTTCTTAGCCTTTCTGGCGTCACGGACCCCTTTGGCAGTCTAGTGAAGCCTATGGACCCTTTCTGCAGAATAATGTTTTTAAATGCATAAAATAAAAGGAAGAGGATTACAAAAGAAATAAATTATGTTGAAATACAATTGTCAACTTAAAAAAAATAAGGAAAAAAAACAAAAACAAAAACAAGTTCATAGACCCCAAGTTAAGAACTACCCTTACATGTCTCAGGTTCCTCAGTAATAAAATGAGAAGGCTAAAAGAGAGATTCTCTAAGGTTTCTTCCAGCTTTAAGTCTATCATCTTGTGATCCTATGATCATAAGATGATTTAGGAATCATGTCAAAAATGATATAAGGTGAGTCTGCCATGACCTGTTTTTGGTGAATCAATGCTGGCTCTTTGGGATCACTATTTCCTTTTCTAAGTGTTCCCTAATATTCTTTTTAACAACATTACAAGCTGCTCAGTATCTGAATTGTCCTTTCAAAAGATCAAAATTGAGGCAAACTAGGATTAAATCAATAAAAGGATAAAATATGGGTGTGTTTTTTTCTCTTCATAATGAGGAAGTGCAAAATAAAAATTTCATAGGTATAAAATAAATTATTTTCAATCTTCAAATGAAGGAGTAACACAGAGCCCAAAGTTCCCAGTAGCTCCCAAAGCTCTCTACATGTTGGGAGTAGACATACTTCTAAGTTTAAAAAGAAGGAAAACATCTGGGTGGAAAATTTGGGATTATGATAGTCAGCAGACCAGGGAACAGCAAGGGAATCAAAAAAGAAATGGGGAAGAAATGTAGTGAGTGCCTAGGCTAGAACCGTGAGAGCAGGCTGGTATAGTGGAGGAACAAAGATGGTGGAGGCACTCAGAGAGACAGAGGCTACAGTAACAGCACAAACCTAGTCCTGATATCTTGAGAGAGGAAAACACTAGCTGCTGCATTGAGACTGAAAGGAAAGTGACTATGCTGAGACAGCTTTTGCAGGTGATTAATACCCTGTTGCTAAACAAATTGCATCCTTCAGATTTGCTTCTAGCTACAACAACACACAAAATTTCACAGTATACTAGGCAAAAGTTGGAACACACTAGTATACCATGGCCCACTCTTTGAGAACCACTGACTTAAAAAATATATATATGTATATGTATGTATGTACGTATGTGTACACACACACACACACACATACACACAGCCAAAAGAAGGCATTCAAATACCAAGAAACCACACCAAGGATTACACAAAACTTAGCAGCTCCCATTATAAAGCAGAGGAGAGCTTATAATATTTCATTCCAAAAGGCAAGAGATAAAGATTTACAACCAAAAATAATCTATCCAGCAAAACTAAATATAATCTTATAAGGGGAAGAAATGGATCTTTAATGGAATAGAGGAGTTCCAAACATTCCAGATGAAAAAGCCAGAATCAAGTAGACATCTTCAAATAGATATGCAAACATCAAAAAGAAACAGAAAAGCACACATTTTTTTTAACTGAAAGGGAATACGTGCAGGTGAACTGTTACAGGTTAATAGGATAAGAAACAAATATCTTCTCAGAATCCTAATATATTTAAGGGTCACAAAAAAATTAAAATGGCAGTCAGTCAAGAATCATTTATTAAGAGCTTTTTTATATGCTAAGCTCTGGAAAATGGAGTCTCTGGGTGGCTCTGTTCTGTTTTAATGGCCTAGGAGAAGACAAAAATGGGAGGGATAGGAAACTATACTGGGGAAAGGGGAAGAAGAAGGAGAGAGAAATCACAATTGATGATAGATGTACATAAATGAAGAGTATGTGGTCATGGATGAAGGCGAGTGGGAAAGCACATCCCATGAACTTCACTTTCATCTAAACTGGATGGAGAAAGATGGAACATAATCACATGTTTCAGTATAAACATATGTTAAACTCAAAAGGGAAATAAGTGGGGAGAGAGAAAAGGAGGGACAATAGAGAGGGGTCTAAGGAGGAGAGGACAGGTAAGGGAATAGTCATAAACCAAACAATTTTTAATGTCAGAGAGAAGACTACGGAAGGAAGACTAAAAGAATAGGAAGAAAGAATAAAAAGCCTAGGATCAGAGGCAAGATAATGAGAAGAGAAGAACGGCAAAAGAGAAGAAACAGACTGTTTCACTTAGAA